GATTTATTTATTTGTATTTATTTTTAGAGAGGGAAGGGAGGGAGAAAGAGAGAGAAAGAGAAACATCAATGTGCGGTTGCTGGGGGCTGTGGCCTGCAACCCAGGCATGTGCCCTGGCTGGGAATTGAACCTGTGATGCTTTGGTTCGCAGCCTGTGCTCAATCCACTGAGCTACGCCAGCCAGGGCTAATGTGTTTAAAAGAGGAAAAATTGTGCCTCGTGCCGTCTCAGTCCACAGTGAGCTTAAAGTAGAAATCAAGAACAGAAACACACCTGGGTACCTGGAGACACAACATACCTCTAAATAACACATGCTTCAAAGAAGAAATTTCCAGAGAAATTTCAAAATATTTTGAATGAAATAAAAATAAATATACAATTTACCAAAATCTGTGGGGTGCTACAAGACAAAACTTAGAAAGAAATTTATACCATTGAATGCATATTTTGCATAAGAAAAGAAACATCTAGAATCAATCATTTAAGCTCCCACCTTAGGAAACTAGAAAAAAGAAGAGCAGAAGAAATAAAAAAAAATTAGAGCAGAAATCAATAATATTGAAAATAAGGAAACCATAGAGAGCTGGTTCTTTGAAAAGAGCAACAAAATTGATCCATTTCTAGTCAGGATAAGCAAGAAAAAATAGAAGACACAAATGACTAACATCAGAAATGAAGAGCCATCACTACCAACCCCACAGGCAATAAAAGGATAATAAAGGAATATTATGAACAACTCTATACCCACAAATTTGATGACTTAGAAGAAAAAGGAACCAATTTATTGAAAGACACCATCTACCAGAATTCATCCAAGGAGAAGACAGTAATCTGAATATGCTTATATCTCTTAAAGAAATTTAATGAGCAACTAGTAACCTTTCAAAACAGAAAGCACCAGACCTAGAGGGTTTTACTCATTAATTCTACCAAACATTTAAATAACAAATGCCACCTTGTTTTCACTGTTCATTCTAGAAGACAGAAACAGAGATGACACTCCCTAATTTATTCCGAGTTTAGCATTCCCATGACACCAAAACCACACAAAGACACTACAACAAGTGTCGCAGGTTCGATTCCCAGTTAGGGTACATGCCTGTGTTGCAGGCCATGACCCCTAGAAACCACACATTGATGTTTCTCTCTCTCTCTGTCTCTTTCTCCCTCCCTTCCCTCTCTAAAAATGAGTGAATAAAATCTTAAAAAAAAAAAGACACTACAACAAAAGAAAAGTAAAGGTCAACTGAGAACCACAGAACTACCTCATGAACACAGATGCAAAAATCCTCAACAAAAGATGAGTGGATAAAACCCAGTGATGTATAAAAATAATTATACAAAACAATTTGAAACCAAGTGTCACAGGTTCGATTCCCAGCCGGGGCACATGCCTGGGTTGCAGGCCATAATCCCCAGCAACCTCACATTGATGTTTCTCTCTCTCTATCTCCCTCCCTTCCCTCTCTAAAAATAAATAAATAAAATCTTAAAAAAATTTTTTGAAACCAATTGAAAATCAGTGTATATAGTAATTAATCACATCAACAGCCTTAAGAAGAAAAAAACTTATGTCAATATAATGATATCAGTAGAAAGCTTTTGACAAAACCCAATCCTCCCACTCATGATAAAAAACTTCCAGCAGACTAGGAAAAAAGGGTACTTCCTCGACTCCATAAAGAACAACTACAAAAGACCTACACCTCCCATCGTATTTAATTGTGAGAAAAGATGCTTTCCCCCCTAAAATTGGGAATAAGGCAAGGATGTTCCCTTGCATATCTTACTGCAGCTTCTAGCTAATGCACTAAGACAAGACAAGGGATTAAAAGGTAGACGGATTGGGAAAAAGAAGTAAAATTGCCTTTGTTTGTAGAAGATGTTAGGAAAAAGAATCAACTGAAATACACCCCCCAAACAAATAAACAAACAAATAAAATCCTCCTGTAACTAACAAGTGACTATAGAAAGGTTTCAGGATATAAAGTTAATATATAAAATTCAATTACTTTTGTATATACCAACAATGCACAATTGCAATTTGAAATTAATAACACAATACCCTTGACACTAGCACCAGATATTAAGCATTGAGGAATAAATCTAAGAGAATATGTGTAATACCAATATGAGGAAAACTATAAAACTGGTGAAAGATGGAAAACAATCTCAGTAAACGGAGAGATACTCTGTGTTTAGAAATAAGAAGAGTCAATATTGTGAGCATGTCCATTCTTTCCAACCCAACCTATAAATTCAACACAACCCCAATAGAAGTCTCACCAAGCTATCTGGTGAGTATTAACCACCGATTCTAAGGTTTAGATGGAAAGGCAGTGACCCGGAGTAGCTATCGCAATGCTGAAGAAGGACAAAGCCAGAGGGCTGACACTGCCCAACTTCAATATTTAATGTAGAGCGACACTCATCGGCCCTGGCCAGTGTGGCTCCGTGGGTTGGTGCCTCGTCCCACAAGCCGAAAGGTGACAGGTTTGATTCCAGTCAGGACACATGCCCAGGTTGTGGTTTTGGTCCCCAGTTGGGCCAATCGGTTGATGTTTCTCTCCCTCTTTCTCTCTCTCCTTTCCCCTCTCTCTAAAATCAGTAAGTGTGTCTGCAGGTGAGAATTAAAAACAAACCAACAAACACTACTCCAAACAATGTGGCACTGGTGAAACAATAAACAAAGATCAAGAAAACAGAATAGAGATCCCAGCAACAGACCCACGTAAATCTAGTTAACTGATCTTTGAGAAAAAGAAGCAAAGGTAATTTAATAAAGAATAGCCTTTTCAATAAATGGTTCTAGAACAACTAGAAATATACATGCAACACACACACACACACACACACACACACACACAAACTAGACACAGACCTTACATCTTTCACAAAAATTTAACTCAAAAGGAATCATAGACCTAAATGTAACATTCAAAACTATAAAATTTCTAGAAAATAACAAAAAGGAAAATCTAGGTGATTATGAGTTTGGTGGTGATTTCACAGATACAACACCAAAAGCACAGTCCATGAAAGAAATAATTGATAGGTTGGACTTCATTAAAGTGAAAACCTTGTATTCTGAAAGACACTATTAAGAGAACGAGAAGACAAGTTGTAGATTGGGAGAAAATCTTTGGAAAACATACATCTATTAAAGGACTTATGTCCAAGGTATACAAAGAACTCTTAAAAGCCAAGAATAAGAAAACAAACATCCTAATTTTTTTAAAAGATTTATTTATTTATTTATTTATTTTTAGAGAGGGAAGGGAGGGAGAAAGAGAGAGAGAAACATCAATGTGCGGTTGCTGGGGGCCGTGGCCTGCAACCCAGGCATGTGCCCTGACTGGGAATCGAACCTGCGATGCTTTGGTTTGCAGCCCGCACTCAATCCACTGAGCTACGCCAGCCAGGGCCAAACATCCTAATTTAAAAAATAGGTGATTAATCTCACCAAAGACACCTCATCAGAGAAGATACGTAGATGGAAAATAAGCATATAAAAAGATGTTCAACATCATATGTCAGCAGGTAATTGCAAATTAAAATCAATGAGACATCGCTACACGCATGTTAGAATGGCTAAAATCCAAAAACCCGACAATAACAAATGCCGGTAAGGATGCGAAACAACGGGACCTCTCATCCGTTGCCGATGGGACTGCAAAATGGCATGGTCACTTTGGAAGACAATTTTGGCCGCTTCTTACAAAGAGCGAAACATAGCCCCGCCATATCGCACTCCTTTTTTCACATCCCGCAATCACACTCCTGGATGCTTACCCGAATGAGTCGAAAACATCTGCCCACACACAAGCACAGAAATGTGGACAGCAGCTGCATTCACAACCGCCCCAGACTGGAAGCAACCCAAATGTTCCTCAACAGATGAATGAACGCACAAACCGTGGCACACACACACAGTGAAATACTATTCAGCAGTGAGAAGAAGGAGCTATCAAACCGTGAAAAGACATGGAGGAAACCTCAATGCCCGTTTCCTCAGGAAAGGAGCCACTCTGAAAATGCTCCCTACTGTGTGATTCCAGGCCGGGAGGCAAACCTACACAGACAAGTGATGAGACTAATAGTAAGTAGCTCAAGAACTGGTAGGGAGAGGAGCAAGGACGCATGGGTGGAACACGGGGAAATTTTAGGGCAATAAAGTGTCTGTACAGTATTGTGCCGGTCGGTACGTGATGGGAGAGGAGGCAACGAGGCCAGGGGTTTGCAAACCTGGTTCTTTCCTCTGCACAACACCCCCCTCCGCCCCACTATGTACGAATGAAGGGAATTGGGAGATCTTTCTCAGGCAGACCTGTTCCGCGTGAACCTGCATGAAAGATCAGGCTTCTCCATATGATCTCTCTCGGGAAGAGACCTCAGTGTTTGAATGAAATATTCGGAAACCACCACCCTGGAAGGAAGGCGTGTGCTGCCCAGCACCTGTGCCCACGACCTAAGGTCCCAGAGCACTAAGACGTGGCGATTCCTGATCCCGCCATCCCGCCAAGGCTCTGTCGAGCGACCTGAGTGGGTTTCCGAGGAGCCCGACCAGCGTGGCACATCAGGGACCCGGGACCCGGGCCTGGCAGAGAACACAGGTCAAGCTCGGGGCCCCAGCTCAAGCCTCCGGGGCCCTGGGAAGGGTCAAACCCTTGGTTCTCTTTGTTCCACTGCGACATCAGTTTCCATTCTCCCTTTCCAACGGATCCTTTTCCATTTCAGGGAAACGGTAGCCCTTAATAGCCTCAAGGGAGCACTTTCTACACCCCGCTGGACACAACCACATCCCCTTTCTGCACCCCACGGGCTGAGCCAGCCATCAAAACTCCACAGCTTCCTCATGTCAGTGTTCGGAAATCATCCCCAGGATCTGCTGCCTACTCAGCACATTCGAGGTGTTACTTCATCCTTCCTTGGTGACGACACTGCCCAGGCGCTCCGCGCCTTATAAAAGGCACACGGGATGGCCAGAGTGGCCACAGGAGCAGAGGCGCCTGAGCCGATCCAGAAACCTCCAGCTCCACGCCGAAGTGCACATCCGAACCGAACCCTCCAGCATGAAGGTGTCCGCATCCCTGCTGTGCCTGCTGCTCGCAGCCGCCACCCTCAGCACCCTGGTGCTCTCCCAGCCAGGTAAGGCCCTGGGGCTGACCGTCACAACTGCTGCGGGTACCAGCATCCCAGCGTGAGTCACGCCATGCTTGCTCGGTGGCCTGAGGTGGAGAAAGTGAAAAACCAGGAGGGGAAAGGAGCAGAGCCGTCATGTCCCGGGCTAGTTGTGGGCAGAGCCAGAAAGGGACGCCCAGGCCACTGAGGCCAGTCCCTCTGACCTCTCCTGCTACCAGCTCTGGGACACTAAATGCGGCCACCGCTTCCATGGTCCTCCCACTGGTTGGGCATGTGGCCCAGAAAAAAGGAACTATTCCTTATTGTGGATGGGAAGGACATTTCTGGAAGCGGTGGGGGAGGAAGAGACAACTGCTCGGGATTTCAAGTTCGGGGTTATGGTCAGCGGGGCCGCGGCACAGAGGCTGTGCCCAGAGACATCCCAGCAGGTGACGTGGGTTGGCTCCAAAGCCCATGGCTCAAAAAGCTGGGAAGCGAGGTCTCAGAACTTGTCTTTTCAAGGTCAGAGGCATTGGCTCAGTTGCCCCTTGTAATAACGTTACAGGGTGAGCCCTGTTACTCAAGATCTTCCTCTTCGGGGTCAATAATCAGAGGTCCCTCCGTCCTGCCCAGGAAACTGACTCACGGGTAGCATCCTATCCGTGGGAGCTAGACTAAGGCAATGCACTTGAGAGTGACGGGTCCCAGTTAGAGCTCCTGCGTCTGCTTTGCCGTCCCCCCTCTTCTCCTCCTTCCCTTGCAAATGCTTGCTCACGCCACATCCTAACTGTCTCGTTCTTTGCCAAACGTTTTTCAGATTCCGTTTCCAGCCCGGTCACTTGCTGCTTTCAGATGTCCAGTAAGAAGATCCGCATCCAGAGTCTGAAGAACTACACCAGAGTCACCAACATCCAGTGCCCCCACGAAGCTGTGATGTGAGTGAACCATGTCCTGATGCCCAGAGCCAAGGGTTCTATCTGAGCTGTGGACAAGGGGGAGAGGTCAGGGTTCATGTGCAGACGAGTCAGATAAACACGCCCTCTCATAGTCAAAAGGGTCCTTTACCCCGTAGAGAAACTGAGCCCGCGAGGAGGAATCCACCCTCCCGTCAGGCTCCCCTGCTAGGGGGCGTGGTCAGATCGCCCGAGTCTCTTCAGCCAGGAGCCTGGAGGGATTCCCCAGGGACAGCAGGAGCAAGATCCCTTTAGGACTTCTTCTCCTGGGATTCCCCTTCCTCTTGTTCCCGTCGGGGCCCCTCCCCCAGGGAGCAGGGGCTGCTCAGGTTTGGGAGCCAGCGGGTCACACTCGCAGGCAAAATCCTCAAACTGCTCCCTTTAATTGTGCCCACAGCTTCCTGAGCAAAAAGAACAAGGAGATCTGTGCTGACCCCAAGGAAAAGTGGGTCCAGGATTCCGTGAAGTACCTGGACAGGAAGTCCCAAGCTCTGAAGCCTTGAACCCTCACACCTGCGTGGAGAGACCGCCAGCACCTGAGGACAATCTTATTTATTTCCCTCAACCTTCCCCAGAGTGCAGAGTGCTATTATTTTATTCGAATGTACAAAAGTAGTGCTTTGGTGAATAATTTAAAGCACAAGCTTTCCTGTATGATATTTAATTATATTTAAGTTATTGATGTCTTGACTTTCTCTGCCACAAACCCTAACACATGTATAGTCTGGCGACGTGTGTTCTGTTCCGTGAGCTCCGCCGAGTTCATGACGACGCACCTGTCTGCCCTGTCACGTGCCGTCAGTATTGTGGAGTCCTCTGTGGGCCGTCAGAGTGAAGCTCTCTGTATTTTTTTAGAAAAATCAGTGCTTTTGTAAATGTTCTGCAATGTTCTTGATGAAATTAGTGTTATTAGAAAGCTATGGAATTTTCAAATAAAAACATGTGTAATTTTAGATGGCTTGGTCTCCTCTTTTATGGGATGACATTCAGTCGGGAAGGAGACAACGGCAGCGACGGGGGGTGGTTGGGGGTAGGGGCCCGGCCTCTGGGAAGCTGGCCTCTGGGAAGCCGTCTGGACTCAGCTGAGGACCAGGGGGAACCTCGCACGCCCGGATCACACGGCTTCAGCCCGGGCTCCAGACCCGAACATCCTGGCCCGTCTGCAACAGAGTCTCGATCCCCGCATCCTTCCTCGCTGCCCCGCACGTTGCCGGCCTCTCTCTCGATCTCTCGCCACGGTCTTCAAACCTCTCCGTCCAACCCCAGGTTTCCACCATCTAATGGATTCTCTCCGACGCACGGCGACGCTCCAGAAGGGACTCGCGATCTAGGAGGAAAGCCCGGTTTATCACCTAGAGCTGCGGGTACAGCTTTCCACCCAAGAGGGGTCTCCACCAGGGCTGGCCTCGAGGGGTGGCGTGGGGTGGGGACTGGAGGGAGTCCTGCAGCCCTGGGGCCGGGAGGAGGGGAGGGGTGTGAGCCAGGGGAAGGAATCCCATCTGGCTGAGCTCTGCATGGACGGAGGGGTTTGGAGTTTTGCAAACAAAGGTTGGAGCCGGGTCGTGGGGCTCTGGAATTCCGGGTGGGAAGTCAGCGGGTCAGAGGGAACACGCGGAGGTTGGGAGCGGGAGAGCAGGGTCACGTCCAGCGGCCGGCGTCGGGAAGAACCGCCTGGGGTCCGAGAGGAGGGGACAGGGAGGGAGGGAAGGCCCGGGAGCCGAGGGGCAGACAGGATGGGGATCTGGGTGCAGCAGGAGGGTGGTGGTGGCGGGGTGGGAGGGGGGGCGAAGTTGGGAAGAATGGGCCAGACGGAGTGATCTGCTAAACGTCGTAGAAGAAGAATAACACCTGACCTGGGACACAGACCCCTCTTTTATAGCCTTGCAGAGCAACTGTGCATTGAGAGGGCTGGCACCCTGGAGACACAGAGGGAACTTTTCTCCATCACCACCCTCCTCACCCCAGTCCTGAGGACTCCCAAACCTCCTTTTGACGGCACGGGACCGCCTTTGCTTTAACCACCTCTTAGGATCCAAATTCCCTGGTCCTTCGTGAGCCTAGCTGTCTCCTTTTCCAGACCAGAGGCCCACCATCCTGAGGCACTAAGGGTCACTGCCTCTTGGGCCCCGCCCCTCGCAGGGATGGGGGTGGGGGGGGGATGGTGTGGAGAGGCCACAACTCCAGCGCACCTGGAAGCACAGCCAGACCGGAGACTTGGCCTCTGATCCCAGAGCTGACCCTGACTTTCTGTGTCACTTAGGGCAAGTCAGGTTCTCTCCCTGGTCTCAAGACACCCCACACAAAAGCAGAAGGGGAACTGCACCACAGGCAAGAAACGAGGGGGTCTGTCAGATGACCTCACAAGCGCCCTCCAGCTCGGGGAGCCACGGCTTTCGGAAACCTGCCATTGTCTGCCGGCTTGGGTAGGGTGGGGACGTGACGTGCCTAGAATTAAAATGGTCAAGCCAGGTGGGAGCCCCGCCTATTGGCAATCGCCTGTATGTCAGCTGTATCACCTGTCTGGAGATAAGCTTTCTTTTCCTTGCTTTTTTAGCTAAAGAAATACCACAGTATGTGGGAGACTACACAGACATTCGTTACACGTTGAGACCACACGTCTTCCAGAAAACAAAAGCACCAGCAGGAGCGTGCACTGACGCCTCGGAGGTGCTGCACCCCGCGGACTGGAAATGGGTAAGACGGGGTCAGGCCCAGGGGGAGAGGAGATGGGGGAGAAGCTAAGCTTTCCGTGGAAGTTCAAGGCGGCACCTCTAGACTCCAGGAGCAATAAGGCAGCTGAGCGTCAGCCAGGCCAGAGGGGTGCTTTGCAGCCGCAAAGGTTGCACCAAATTCTAAGCTTGTTCTCCCACAGTCTCAAGGGCCAAGTTAGCTATGGGGACCTGGGCCCCGGGTTTCATGGAGTCCCCGGGCCGCCAGCCCCAGAGTCCAAAGGCAGGGAGGCCCCTCCTGTGCTGACAGCAGGCCGCCGTGCGGGACACAGCCAGGTTGCTTTCCCCAAGGGCTGCCCGGCCAGCTGCATGCTGGGGTTATGCCGTTATTATTTCAGGTCCAAATGACCTCAGTGACATTAAACATGCTGTCTCAAGTCATACAGCATCTTATTACATTATTCATGTCTCATGGGCCCTAATGTGAATGTTTGTGTTTCGAAAAACCACACCCTAACATTCACTGGCGTGTATCCGAGAGCTCCAAACCCTTCCCTTGTCAACAAGGGGTCAACAGACTGGGGAGTTTACTCGGGTTGACGGGCGTCCTCTCGGGCTCCCTTCCAGCGTCACCCTCCGCAGAGGCTGACAGTTTGCTGCCGGCTGTGACCCAAGCCACACTCTCAACCTCTGCTCTCAGCGCTGCCTCAGGTCCTGCTTTCCGCCCAGGCTCCTCCTCGGGGGCCACCCCAGGGCAGGGCTAAGCTCGGCCTGTGCATTTGCTGAGGCTCAGAAGTGTGCGGGGGAGGGAATGCCGCCGTGAGCCTAGTGATGCTTCTGGGAGATGACGTCAGGGAAATGCAATTGACTGCAACCTGAAACACTGCTCCCCGCCCCCATGGCTAAAATGGAAAGACAGATAAAACTAAGGGTTGGTGGGAATGAAGAACACATAAAGCTCTCATGCACTGCTGGTGAGGAATTTGGAAAACTGTTTAGCGGTTTCCGATCCGATTCAACAGACGCATATTCTATGACTCAGAAAGTCCACTTCTAAGTAAATATTTGTGACAAACGCATTCGTTCAAGCACAAGAGGTTTGAACGAGGATGTTTATGACTCTGCTCATGACAGCCCCAACCTGGAAGCCCTTCATCGTCTATCAAGAGGAGAACAGACAAATAAACTGTGGTGTGTTTACACTTGGCGATCGAAAGAACAAAGCATTGATTTTTTTTTCAAAGCATTAAACATAAGACTTCTGACCCTCCAAATGCATACCAATTCATGCCACAGGATTCTTTTTGTATGAATTTCAAGAACAGGTCACCAGTTTTGACAGAAGTCAGAAGAGGGAGGACCTCTAGGAGATGAAGCATTGGCTTGGAGAAGATACAAAGGAACTTCACGGAGGGTGGAAACGGTAGTCTTGAGGTGTGTGGTGGTTCCGTAGATTAAAAAGCCGTATCAGTGAGATTTGTGAATTTCACTCTATGTGAAAGATACAAGTATATATATATATATATTTTAAAGATTTTTATTTATTTATTTTTAGAGAGGGAAGGGAGGGAGAAAGAGAGAGAGAGAAACATCAATGTGTGGTTGCTGGGGGTCATGGCCTGCAACCCAGGTATGTACCCTGACTGGGAATCGAACCTGCGACACTTTGGTTCACAGCCCGCGCTCAATCCACTGAGCTACGCCGGCCAGGGCCAAAAGATACAAGTATATTGAAATGCATTTGTTTTTGTAGCCTGAAACTCTTCTCCCTCCCTGCTGGTGGGTCCAGCAGCCCAGCCTCCCTGTGTGTGACGTCAATGGAGACGCTGACAAAGGTTTACTACCTGCGTGGCAGCGTGACCTGCAACCCCAGGGAAACAGACTGAATGGCTGACAGCAAGTCGTGGGCTCGCTGGGTAGCCGGCCCTTGAGAAATGAAGCGGTTGATGGGTAGATAATAACTTCGACAAGGTTTCTGTCAGAATGCTCACACACAAGTCTAAGACCAACCAGGAGCCAGTAAAACTCCTCACCTCTTCACGTGGAAAGAAAAAGGAACAACAATATTTTTTTTTCTGTGATTATATGTTAATGCTAAGTGTGCAAGTGGCCGTATAATAATTTTATGCTTTTTAAGAAATATTTTCCAGTATTCTAAGTCAGCATACATTAAAAAAAAACATAAAAATGTTTCTGCGCTACAGAAACAAAAGTGCTGACCCTACAGGAAAAACTTCTTCTTCTTTTTTTTTTTTTCTCACGCTACAGCGTGTACGGAATACAAGATTTTCCGTCTTGGTCATGTTTAGTCTGTCCAGTCATGGGAAAGGGCAGTTCCGGGCATTTACCCTAGGAATTTCCAGAAAAGAAAAAGAACAGAAAGAGCAAGCAAAGTTAGAAACTGGGGGCCTCTGAACAGGCAACGGAAGAAATGGTAAGACGCCCAGACCCCTGTGGGCAGGGAGACCGCACACCTCAGTTTGCCTGGGACAACCCGGCCGCCCCATCTGGTTTGGGAGACAGGTAGGTGCCGCTTCTCCCACAGAGGAGGGTCCCAGTGGCTTCTGAGACCCTGAGCCATCAGGACGTAGCCCTGGTTGACTGTGTGCTGGTCCGGAGGATGCCCAGAAAGATGACTTCCATGCCTGGAACAGCAGGAGCGGGGCTGGCCCCAGCAGGCCACCGACCGCCCTTTGCAGAGCGAGCTTTGGTCCCCTCGGAAATTTCTGGAGGTGGGGAAGCCTTTGTGGTCAGGACCCAGGTTAAGGCAGGGCTCCCAGGACCCCTGTTTGGGCCAAAGGGAGAGAATGGCACGGCAGGTGGGTGGGGTGTTCACAAGCAAAGACTGAGACGGGAGGGAACGTGGTGGGAAGCAGAAAGCAAAGCAGGCCGGACAGTGTGGACCAGGCGGTGGGTGGACTCCGCCCTTCAGTGACGCGGTGGGGACACTCTCCTCCTCTGCAGGCTCGCCTGGCTCTGGAGAGACCCGGGCTGCGGGGCAGAGGCCGCCAGTCAGCGCTGGCTCCCTCCCCTTGTCATCGGCCCCCGCAGCGGTTGGATATCCATGCTAGAAAGTGGAGAGACTGCCCCGTGCTGATACGCCTTAGGCAGGGGCTGCGTACGGCCCAGGATGGCTGGGAACATGGCCCAACACAAAGTCATAAATTTACTTAAAACATGATGAGATTTTTAAGTGTGATGACGCGTCACAATGTATTTAACGTGTGGCCCAAGACAACTCTTCTTCTTCCAGTGTGACGCAGAGACGCCAAAAGTTTAGACAC